CGAAATCAATCTGGAAAGAAATCTTCTGGCCGGGATCAAGAGCACTGGGAGAGCGCGCGCCCCCAGGCTGGGGAATCAGGTTGCAGAATCCCAGGGCCCAGGACGGGCACCAGGGCCAAGGCAGCCAGGCCGACACAGCTCTGTACAAAGCTGAGGAAATCAGTACTCACTCGGCTGGAGAGTCGGGGCCCAACAGACCTCAGCCGGGCTTTCCGGATGTTTGCATTCCTCTTTGAGTTCTGCCCTCTGCGGTGTCAGCTTGGAGAGCCAGCTGAGCCCCGCCCCGAGCCCGGACGGCTTCCCGGAAGGAAGCTGGGTCAGGCTGCACTCCCCGGCTCATGCGCCCTGAGCCTCGCATCCCGGGGAACTACACACACACTTGGTGATACGAGACCAGGGAAGGGTAGGAGCTCCGCAAATACCCCTCCCTCTCCCAAAATAGCTCCTCTGAAACTGTAACGTTAACGAATAACGACAGCCAGCAGGGATCCGCACAAGTACAATGGTACGACGGGATTTAGTTATTTTTAGCTTGCAGTTTAGTGCAATCAGAATTCTTCTCATTGGACGTCATGCATTTTTTTATGTTTCAAAACTTCACAATAAGAACAGATTTGAAGCCTGGGCATAAAATAAGAATTCATGGGCTGGGAATGTGGCTGGGTGGTCGAGTGCTTGCCTAGCATGAATGAAGCCTCTGGGTTCGATTCCTCAGTATCACATACACAGAAAAAGCCCCGCAGTAGTGCTGTGGCTCAAGTGGTAAAGCTTTAGTCTTGAGCACAGAGGTTCAAGGGCAGAGCCCAGGCACTGAGTGCAAGCCCCAGAGCCGGCAAAAACACACACACACACATACACAACTGAATTCATGAGTGTAAACCGCTACTGATAAATTTATGAGTGAGTAAATAAATAGGGGAAAAGAAAACACTTTCTGATAGGAGAAGGAATCTAACTAAAATGTAGACTGGATGATGGAGTTGAAAAAAAGAGTTATTAACTTTTAAAGGGAACCCTGATTTTAATAAACATTCTCACTGATTCAATATGAACACAAAAATGTAAGAATGACTGATTGGGTCTTATTTCCCAAACTTTATTTGTACATTAGCGAGACTATATATACATATGTATATATATTGCATACATATACATACATATATGTGTACATTACATCTACACATATATGTGTACATATAGATATGTATGTGTATATACACATATACACATATATATGTATATATTACATGTGCACACATACACACACATATATACACATACATATAATACATACAATACACATATATGACATGTGCATATATTTCATATGTACATATATACACATACATATATACATATGTATATGTATACATATATACATATACATATGTATATATGTATGTGTATATATGTATGAATATATACAGTCTTCTGTAATTATATGTTAATTTATGCCAGAAACTGGGGAAGGAAAGTGAGTCATAAAAACATAGCAAGAAAGAACAAGAGAGATAAAATCAGCCTTTGTTTTAGGATTAGAGATGTGAACCAGCAGCGCCTGGCTAAGAGGTTTTCCCTTCTTTGCTGTTTTTGTTTTCTTTATTTTTGTCTTGTTTGTTTATCTGTCTTTGGGAGGGTAATGGGGGTCACAGAAATGGTGGCACAAAGGGTGAACAAATGCATCCATGGTACTCACTAGACACTATATTGAAAATGAACTATATATCATGTGGATGGAGACAGGAGGGAAAAACTGGAAGAGAGTGAGAGAAGGGGTGTGCATTGCCCCAAAAGAAATGCACTCATTGCCTGACTTATGGAACCGTAACCCCTTTGTACATCACCTTTATAATAACAAGCAAAATTGTAAAATAAATAAAAAAATAGAAAAAAAAAACAGAAGCTGGCTGAGAACTGAGAACTCTTCCAGCAATAAAATTCATGACTAATTATGAATCACAACTACTTTCAGATTGACTAATAAGAGTCTATTCAAGAGTCTATTTCTGCAGTCTCATTAATCTTCATTATTTATTTACAAAAAAGTAAAGTCTAGGTACTCAACCTTTTAAAGTAAGGGGGTAGTAGTAAAGTTTGAACTCAGAGCCTTATGCTTAAGCATTTTGCCACCTGAACTACACCTCCAGCCCTCCCCTTCTTTTTTTCTTTTTAAATATATTTTCTTTAAGTAGTTGTATAAAGGAGTTCAAGTCAACAGGTCAATTTTCCTTTTGGCTTACTTTCAGAGAAGGTATCACTTTTGCATAAGGCCTTCTTCAGATTGTGACTGTTCTATCTGCCTTCTACATAGCTGCCATTAAAGGTATTCGTCACCACACCCAGTTTCTTTTTTGAAATAGGGTCCCCTCAATAACATTATTTTTTTCTCCCTGGCCTAGCCTGGAACCATAGGCTTCCCATCTCTACCTCTCTCATAGCTGGGATTACAGGTATGAGCTACTATAGCTTCACCAAGAGCTTTGGATCTTATTCTAAGCCTCAGAACAAAAGGGGAGAATGGATTCTACTTACAGGCCTAACTAATCATTGTATTAGAATTCTCATGATGCAGTCCTGCCATATATAGAAAATATCCTACAATATACAGTATTCATATGAGTTTCACATAGAATATTTATTCTTTTTTTTTTTTTTGCCAGTCCTAGAGCTTGAAATCAGGGCCTGGGCATGGACCTGAGCTTCTTTTGCTCAAGGCTAGCACTCTACTACTTGAGCCACAGTACCACTTCTAGTTTTTTCTGTTTTTGTAGTACTGAGGAATTGAACCCAGGGCTTCATGCATGCTAGGCAAGCACTCTACCACTAAGCCACATCCCCAGCCCCAAAATATTTATTCTTGTTTTTTTTTTTTTTGGGTCCGGTCGTGGGGCTTGAACTCTGGGCCTGGGCGCTGTCCCTCAGCTCTTCAGCTCAAGGCTAGTACTCTACCACTTGAGCCACAGCGCCACTTCTGGCTTTTTTCTTTTTGCTTATGTGGTGCTGAGGAATCGAACCCAGGGCCTCAGGAATGCAAGGCAAGCACTCTACCACTGAGCCACCTTCCCAGCCCCCAAAATATTTATTCTTAAATACAGAACTTAACATGTTTTCAATAATAATAGAAATATTATTTATTTTAATTTTCAGGCTAAATAAGTTCAAAATCCAGAAACTCAGGACTAATTCTCCCTGCCATTTGTGGCCACCATTTAGTCACAACTTTTTGACTGCTGTGAGACTATCTAGCTTTGCTTGTGTAACTGTGGCAGTTGTACAAAAAGGGCTTCAAGTTATGCCACATGCTAGCACCTCTAGCTTTGCTCAATGAGGCCTAGAAATGGTAGTTTTTAAAGAGCCATTCATACTGAATTAGAGCCATCTAATCTAGCATCAAATGAATAAATGAGTATTTTTTTCTACAACTCTGTGAGAGTTGAAGACATGAGAAAAGTGGGAGGAAAGAATTAAATTGTGGAAAATCTGTTATGCCAGAAACTGGGGAAGGAAAGTGAGTCATAAAAACATAGCAAGAAAGAACAAGAGAGATAAAATCAGAAGAGAGAAATGATAGTATTTTTGGAAGCCATGGAACAATGCAGGTTTGCTTTTAAATAGTAAAGCAATGAAGAGCCAGCTAGAATATCTTCACTTCCCACATATACTAGCTCCTACAACTTACTGGATGAAATATGTGTCAGAAAAGGGCAGGATGCTTAGGCCTTAAAGAACTAAGTCTTTTCAGGAAAAACCTCACTAGATTCCAACCACATGCTGAATCTCCAAAATTATGTCATAGTAATTCTTCAAGCCATACAAATTACTTCATTATTGTTATGAGTAGGTTTTGCTACTGATCTCTCTCTCCCCTTCTCCCACTCTCATACTTTCCCCCTCTCTCTGACCCACTCCCTCGATCCATCTCCCCTTTCCCTCCCTCACCTCTTCCCCTTCCCCTTCTCTCATCCTGGGGCTTGAACTCAGGCCTGGGCACTGTCCTTTTTCATTTTAGCTACTCAAGGCTAGCACTCTACCATTTGAAACACAGCTCTACTTCCGGCTGTCTGGTGGTTAATGGGAGATAAGAGTCTCATGGACTTTATGGCCTAGCTGGCTTCAAACAGCAATCCTCAGATCTCAGCCTCTTGAGTTGCTAGGATTACAGGTGTAAGTCACTGACACACAACTATCGCTTATTTTACAGGCATAAATTAGGTTGTAGGTTAAATATAGCTCCTAATAAAATAAACAGTAAGACATGTTCAGGTGAACTTTTCTAGCTGTAGAGTTCTCAACAACAGGAAAGGGGGGCTGGCAGAAATAATCACAACAGAGACACATGTGCCTCTATTTTCTCACAACTACCAACTGCCAGGTATAGGGCTCCATGTTTTATATATTTTATTTTGTTTCAGCTTTGCAACAGCTCTCACAACATAAGTCTTGCTCCAGCTTTGATGAGGCAGCGGCGCCCCGATGGCACCAAGGGAGTGAGTGGCAAAGAGGAAATGCAAACTTGGGTTTGTTTGAGCCAAGAGACCCTCCTGGTGGGCATCCATGTGGCAGGGTTCCAACAGCAGTGACAATGTGTGGTTGTGCCACACACAGAGCATGTGCCTCAGTTTGGGATTTACATTGGTTTCAAACATTAATTTACCCTTTGCATTTATAATAATCATCTTTCAATCATTTTTTTTTATCTTTCTACTGGTTAGAAGGACATTGAGAATGTCAACATAAAATACACTCAAGATGTTAAATTGAGATGGCAGTGCTGAGGGCTTAAGCCCTATTATTCAATAATAGAAAGTTACATCTTTTCCTCAAACACATAAATGACACTTTGTTAAAACACACACACACACACACACACACACACACACAAACACAGCTTTGTAGTGACCTATGAGCACTCTTTTCCTTCCTTGCAAGGCCCACCCACTGATGACAGACTGACAGGTGATAAGGGAATAGGATCTCTCCTGTTCAGGCAACTGACTCACCTTGGTGTCTGAGGCTGCTCCACTGGCATGAGCTCTGGAGGGGTGACTGCTCCCCAAGTTCGATGCTTTTTTCTTGAAAAAAAAATATTATTTCAGTGGGAGAAGAGACCTTAACAACATAGACAAGTGCAACTTTTCTTATCAATACACATATCTTCTCCAACAAAACTCAATAATATTCTAAACACATTTAATTTTAAATTGCTTCTGTAGCTATGCCTGATGAGTACAGAAATATGAAATGGAAGGGGAATTTGCATAAATCCAAGTTGCTCAATATTCACTGACTTAGAAGAATTGCGAAACTCATTTGTGATTTCCCAGCATAAATTTCTTTTTCTTTCTTTCTTTTTTTTTTTTTTTGTCGGTTGTGGGGCTTGAACTCTGGGCCTGGGCGCTGTCCCTCAGCTCTTCAGCTCAGGGCAAGTGCTCTACCATTTCTGGTTTTCTAGTGGTTTACTGGAGATAAGAGTCTCATAGATGTTCCTGCCTGGGCTGGCTTTGAACCGTGATCCTCAGATCTCAGCCTCCTGAGTAGCTAGGATTACAGGCATGAGCCACCGGCACCCGGCTCCAGCATAAATTTCTTCTGGTAACACCACTCGCTGTGTGTGGGGGGGGGTGGGAGGAGGTCTTCTTTTTCACAGTTATATAGAGCATGGACAATGGTATACCCATGATGGAAGGTGATTTACCAGTGTATGCCAAAGATGTAATTCTACTTGTGAAATTTTACCCTGAGGAAATGACAAGAAAAAAAGGCTTTTTTTATTCACACATATTTATTAAATATTAAAGTTCATCGTGATATCCGAATGGCTATTGAATCTTTGTTTATGATTTGATAGGCAATCATTCTATTAGAATATCAGAATTAAATACCTTAATAGTAAAATCTATTAGAACACTATTTCGAGTCTTCTGTGTATATTAAGTGCCATATTTAATGACATTTAAATCTTCACATTAACTAATACAAATCTTCCACTATTGTTATCCCCACGTTATAAGTGAGGGACTGCGGTGGAGTGCATATGTAATGCGGGTGGCCCTGGTCACAGGTAGTGAGAGACAAGAAGTCTGCTTCTGACTGCTCTGTTATGTATTTATCCTCTCACAAAAGGGGTAGAGAGATAGGTTATGACATGGTGATGATTCAATCAATGGAAGCATTTATTATTCATATTTTAAAGAAAGGTAAGTCATCAAATACAGTGAAAGCAGGGGTTATACTGTGGGGGAGGGACATACAAAGCAACAAAGAAATAATCTTATAAATGTGTTAGAAACAATCGTATGAAAGAAAAAAAACATTTGAATATATATCTTAGGGTTCATTTCCCTAACATCAACTTATCTGACCTTTTCTGCTTGATGTTGGTATAATTTGTGGAGAGGAAGGGGAAAAACAAATCGTTTAAATAGAGATACAGGTGGACCCATTGCAACAATGAGATGTACAAGTCGTTATGCCAAAAATGAACTTTACAACTTTGGTGGGGGGGGGAAGGGGAGGATAGGAAGGGATGGGAAGGGGAAACAAAGGAGGAGGCTACAATGCTTGATAAGAAATGTACTCATTATCTTGCCCATGTAATTGTAACCCCTCTGTACAGGATTTTCACAATAAAAAAAGAAATAAAAAAATAAAAAAGAAAGGTAAGTCAGAGTTGAAATTAGACATTGCATGATCCCTGAAATGTGTGTGTGTGTGTGTGTGTGTGTGTGTGTGTGTGTGTGTGTGTTCTACCAATGGGGTCAACAGATATTTACAAGGGAATCCTTCTCGGGCTCTTTCAAATTTTCTTAAATAACTATATTAATTGAGAAAAGAAAGTAAATGATGAAGGGAAAGTAAAGTACATAGTTGCTGTCTCAAAAAGGCCTGTATACCAAAATCCCTTATTTTTTTTTCTTTTTTTTGTCGGTCGTGGGGCTTGACCTCTGGGCTTGGGCACTATCCCTGTGCTCTTCAGCTCAAGGTGAGCACTCTACCGCTTGAGCCACAGTGCCACTTCTGCTTTATTGGAGATAAGAGTCTCACAGACTTTTCTGCCCAGACTGGCTTTACACCACGATCCTCAGATTTCAGCCTCTTGAATAGCTAGGATTACAGCCACTGGTGCCTCGCCTCTAAATCCCTTACTCTTACGTATCTATGTTCCAAAGAAGCAGACAAATACTGTCCTCTAAATCCCCTACTTTTAAGTATCTATTTTCCAAAGAAGCAAACAAATGACTCTGCATGGGAAGAAAACACTGGAAACACTGACTACATGAGGATGGTTATACATTAGCTGATCAGTGCTCTATATCTGTGCAGTGAGAAGTTTGTATGTATAACTGAGAATCACTTCGCTTAACTGTTTTAACATTTAGGAAATACTTAGCCAAACTAAAATTCCTTAATTTTTTAAAGTGTCTCCCATAGAAGCCTGAAGAGAAGTATTCACTTTTTTAGGTAAATATTGTCCCAGCAAAAAGCAAAATCAAAATTAGCTTGTTGTCCTCACAGTATAATATCTATGTGTCTACCAGTTGACAAATTCTATAGTACTTCATGAAGATTACTGGGGTGGTATGTCTTTATAAAGTGGAATCTAGGGGTCAGAGAGAAATTTTTCAGGAGTGCTAAGCTAGGCATTGATTGAAGAATAAACACACTCCCAAGAATAGGACACTACTATCAACCAAGGAAGAAAAGTTCTAGATGATTGAAATAGAAACAAGAGTTACTAAAAAGCTATCAATGTGAAAAATGGTGAAAAGAGAAATAATATCCAGATTGCAATACCTTTTCATGATATGAGTGTATTCACAAATAGTTTCTGATAAGCATAATGTATAAATAGACTCTGAGTAAAAGAGGGGATGTTAAATATAAAGTTTATAGAGCAACAGAGTCATTCAACTCAATTTCCTCATTTAACTTAAGCCTAAAGAGGTTAGATCATTTTCCAGCTGCCTAGAACACCTGTTTTTAGTGTTTGGTTTACTGAGGAAGGTCATGTATCAGTTCTGGGCTAAATACAAGCTCTGCTCAAGACAATAACACCACATGCCAGGCCCTGGCTCCTCTGGGAAGCCTGTAAATGTAGCTAGAATTTGCCATGAGATTTTTTTTTAACCCTTGTTATTTTTTGCCTGTTATGAAACCATTAAGGTTTCCTCCTGTACCACAGATGCCTGTACATGCATGCTTCTGCTACACTGGCTTCTTTCTTTCTGTTCCTCCAGCCTTCCAAACCCCATCCTGCCTCAGGATCTTTGGAAGGCTTATTCTTAGAGGACAGTTCATCTATCTACAGTAAAAGAAACTTCTCAAGACAAACTCATTCCACATTTGTCCTAACCACAAGTATGTTCTAACCACTGAAATAAAAGCTTGAGATTAGTTGTGAATACCCATCCTACAAGAAATTCATTTCTCTAATTCCATAGACTAGAATAGACACTCGGCAGATTTGTCTAATCTTCTTCTAATATGAACGTGCACCTCTCTGTTGAGTTTTACAGAAAGTAAGCTGCAAGGCACATCCTGCCCCTTGGCCTTGTCTAATCATTCTCAGGCCTGGCTGAGTCATTCCTAGCTTTCAATTCAGCATGTCACAGGGACTCAGCCTCCTAACACCTGACAGGAATATCAGTGTCATTGTCCATGCATTGTGTGTCTCTGCTGAATCCAAATTCCAAGACACCAAGTCTGGGTCACGGTCAGGGGACTTGTGAGGTACCCCCTGGCTCATTAGCAGACTTGTGAGTGTGCACAGCCGTGTGCACATGGATGAAGAATCTGTACCACTGGAAGCAGCTCCCTGATATCCAAAACCAGCTTGCTAGCTGAGAGGTCAGCAGACACCTCATGTTTGTGCAGTGTTCAAGATATAGCATACTGAGGTCTGTGATCAATTGTACCTGGGGTGTTGGGGAGACATAAAAGGAATTAACCAGATAACTTTCACAGATCTCTTATAGTTCATAATAAAGATTTTTCTGGCTCAGAACTCAATTTATAAAAGCTATTTTCAAAATAATGAAGTTGTAAGAGGCAGTCAAAAAGCTGCTAGGTTACTCCTGCCTAAATATGGGCAATGGTACCCTGAAGGAAGCCTCATGGTGTTCTGAGACATGGTGACAATACAAAGGTGAGAATACCAAATCTCCAGGATAATGGTCTCACCCTTTCATGTACGTGGTGAAATCCTAGTCAATCCCATGCCAGCTTTGAAATTTTGAGTAAATTCATGACCCCCCCTCCCTCTTTCCCCCTCCATGTGTCTGTCTCTCTCTGTCTCTCTCAGCACTGAGACTGAACCACGGCCTTCTGTATGCCAGGCAAGTACTCTAACACACCACACCACACACCTAAGCTGCTTGTGTTTGCTTTGTTTGTGAGACAGGTCTTGCTACCATTTTGCCCAGACTGGCCTCATTCTGGTAATCCTCTTGCTTCTGCCTCCTCTGAGGCTGGGATTACAGTTATGTGGGCCTTCACTCCCAGAAACTTTAAATCCTTTTTACAACCGAATTTCTAATTGGAATAATGTGCATAACTCTATTCATATCTCGAGTGACTTGGGGAGTTAAATGAGATGAGAACCCCCTGCTGTGACAAACAAGGCCTAGAGTCCTTGAACAGGTAACAATGGAACAGACTGACCACCTCGAACAACATGAGTGTGGTTTTAACTGATAAGACTACACAGTAACTGTTACAAACTTCCTATGAGGTTTCATTATTCCTATAATCAAAACAAAAAATACATTTTTCACTAGATAGAAACAAGTGATTTGTGTTTTTTTATTAGGACTAGTCCTTTGATCCAAGAAGTGAAACACAGTTAAATTACTTAGAAACAACTTTTGAAAGTTGTTTCTAAGCTGTGTTAATGTATAAGAACAGCCTTTAGAATGTGTGATATATGTTCTGGGTTTCTAGCACAGAGCTCCTAAAAGATATATAGTAATACAGTGCAATAGTAATAGCAATTGGAGGATCTTTTCCTCATATTTTGTGCTTAACCTTGTTTTTTTGTTTGTTTGTTTGTTACAGAGACTCTAAATCCCTAGGA